CTTCAGGCCGTGTTGAGAGATTTTAACTTGGAAGTTGAGATCACCCTGAAGAGTGATGCCACGGCTGCAATTGCCATTGCGAGCAGACGAGGTTTAGGGAAAGTGAGACACATTGAAGTATGTCAACTGTGGTTGCAGCAGAAGGTAAAGGAGGGAGTACTTCGAATTGTGAAAGTAGGCACACACGAGAACACAGCAGATGCATTAACCAAGTATGTCAGTCGTGAGAGCATGAGCACACACCTACGAAACACGAACCAATGTGCATTAACAGGTCGGCATAGTCTTGCGCCGGCTACCGAATGTTGACATTCGCAGCTCATTTCTGTCAAGCAAGCAGTCTCGATTAAGGCCTCCTCCATCCATTACCTCTTACTCTTGAGCGTGAACGAAAGCATGGCGGGCCACCAGGTCAACGTCACGATCAACGGCGCCGTGGTCGACCAGAGCCCGCCTGGGGAAGGACCGGTTACGCGTGAGAACCTCAATCGCCGTGTTGACGATGTCGTCGACGTGGCCCATGCGTTTACCGTGACCCTCACCAACATGGCCATTAACTTTCACGGGGCCTACGACAAGCACGTTGACGAAGCGCAGAGGTCTGCCGATGACATGGCGCGGAGGATCGAGGACTTAACGCGGCAGAACGCTGCGTTGCTTCACGCCAGTGACGACGTCAACGAAAACCTCAAGAGGGCGCAGGACGAGGTTAACGCCCTTGTGGCGACGATTACAGAGCTGAACATCAAGAATCGCGACTCGGAGGTTAACACGGCGGAGAATGCGACCAAGTACAGGCGCATTTGCGAAAATATTGGTTACCTCTTGAACACCGCCAGGCGTCTTACCGATAACATCACGCCTCTGCAGGACTTCGAGGGCAAACGGGATGCGGCACTACGCATGTTAGTGGGAGTTACCGAGAGGCTTGAGGGTTTACAGAGGTTCTTGAATGACCCGATCAGCTCCTCGGTTACCATCATCCCGCAGGTGCCTCCGCCGTTGCCTGAGCTGCCCCCAACGGCAGCACTCGCCAAGGCGCCACCCGTTGCCGTCACCGCGGCAGCCGGGTCCATGGCCACAGGCGCGCCCCCAGTGAAGCAGGTCAACGTGGCTCCATCAGGGAAAGCTCCCCCGACTCAGGACCTGGCCGGCACAACCACTAAAGCCGGAGGGATCCGACGGTCCATGTCACCGAACAAGATCCCGCCGTCAACGATGAGCCGGCAGAGCGGTGAAGAGCCACAGCCTGTTTACAAGAAAGCGCCGAAGGCCATGCATGAGCGTAAACGGGAGTTGGAAGAATTGATGCAGATAGGCATGAAGATGGACGAGGATCGTGCGATGGGCAGTCAACGTGACGAGGTGCCAAAGGGTCCTGCCCCTGCCGTGAACGTGAGGCCGGCCAAGCCGCCCCCTCCGGGGCTTGGCGAGTCCAGAGCGTCAAGCAGCGTTAGCGGCATGAAGCCCCCGCCTCCGGAGCCCAAGAGGTTACCGGTCCAGCACATCCCGCCGCCGCAGCCTCAAGTCGTTAATCGCACGAATGATCAGCTTGCGGGATACTCCCGGAACGTCGCCAAGGCCGTGTACCGCCCACTGTACCACGTCAACGGTCACATGCCCATGCTGAACGACAGGAGCGACGACTACGACGTTAACTACAAGGCGGAACCTGACCCCAGGGAAGTGGTCGCATTAACGATGAAGACGCGTGACAACTGGCGCAGGTTTGAGGGCAACTTCGTCGGGCACGTGGCGCAGGCGGGGTCAACGACCCCTGGCGGTCGGTCTATTCAGGGCAACACAGGGCGGGAGCTTAACGATTACGATGACGTGTTCGTTGACATCTATGGCCAACATGCTTACGGTTTCATCGGCTATGCCGTGTTGAAGGGCCCGAGCAGCTGGAGATCTCAGTTGACGGAGAAAGAGTTGACCAAGCATGATGAATGGGTTGACGCAGTTGGGCACGTACAGTCCCTATTTGACGACGAGTACGTGCCACCACTCCACGTTGACGATCTCCACCCATCGTGGTTTGAGCTCCACAGTTGCCCGGACACGCAGGTGTACGTCAACAAGGTGCCGGAGATGAACGAGAAGCAGCTTAACGGTCTTCTCTTAACGTGGGCAGGAATGCTGCCCCACGGCAACCCCACCGTGATCTCCGTTAAGCACCTGGTGGAAGACACCCGTGGGCCGCACGGTTACATCTCGACTGGAGTTACCGTAACTCGGTTTGCGACGCCTGATCTCGCCAAGCTCTACTGCCGTTTCATGAACGTGCTCCAGGTGCATTACCGTAACTACTTCATCGAGGACCTCGAGGTCAGGAGCACGGAGGAGTTAAAGGGCAGCATCAACAGGCCTCCAGTCTACTGGCACCAGACCATCTTAGATGTCGCTCTTAACGATCAGGGATCAATGGGGGCACTTTACCGTGACAATTGGCCTGCTGATCATATCACCGAGCGTAAAAGCGATCATCGTGAGAAGCTTTGCTGGTTTGGCTGGTTACCGTGCGACGACTTCCCCAACTGGCTTACCAATCCGACCTGGACTGTGAACCCGTTTACCGGCGCTGCGGTCGAGGAGCACCTCCGTAACAATCCAGGCGGTGGGCCTCTGTTGAAGGCTCCCCACGCCAGTTGCTGGAGGGCCATCGACACCTACCACAACATCGTTGACGGTTCCATCAAGAGCTTCGAGGAGGGGTGCTGGCTCGACGACGAGGAGCGCATTAACGCGTACCTGGACACCGACTATTACAGCCCGATGCAGGCCCTTAACAGGGTGTCGTCCTACACAGCAGCCAGTGTGGGACATCGCGGGTTACCGAGGTCGAGGGGCGCACGGGCCCCGTCGGCGAGGCGCCCGCGCCGCTCGTGAAAGACGGCAGGTGACCAGCATGCTGCAGTTTACGCTCTTCCTCATCTCCCCTCTTAACTTGGCTTAACAATCGAGTGGCGGTAGCTTGTTGAGCTGAGCTTGTTTGCATGCGCATCTTTTGTAGTTACCGCAGGTATTGGCGAATAAAAAGCAAAAGCCATCAAAATCATCCAAATGCTAGCCTGCCGTGTAAATTTTAGATGCTCCGTTTGAACTTGTGACTGCAAGAGCGTTTACTCGAGCTCATGTTACATGTGTGAGAAACGTGGTGCTCGTAAGCGCTGTCACGAGACCTTTCGAATTCAACGATATGATGATTTGCGTGCAGCGCGTTGCGCAGTTTAACCTGTTTTTATGTTTGAAGACACCTCACCGTCAGCCCGTACGGACTAGCGTCCGAGGGGGGATGTTAACATGCAAGCGTTCAGGTGACTGGGGAGGAATAGTAACCCTGTTACCTTTGGCTCAAGTGTTTAACGGCTGAAGCCACCGAGACTCGCTTCGCCGTGCGGGAGTATAAAGGTGACCGATCATCATCACTGTTACTGGGCTCCCGTGCAGAACCCTCCTTGGGGCTTTGCAGGAGGAGGAGGAGGAGGAGGAGGAGGAGGAGGAGGAGGAGGAGGAGGAGGAGGAGGAGGAGGAGGAGGGGAGCCCGCTTGGATCGGAAACGTGCGCACGCACGGAGCACGGCCCAAGTGCGCGCCTGCGCACCCCGACACCTGCCTCGCAGCCTGCGCGGAGAGAAGCTGCCCTGCATTTACCCCCGCACGCGGCCCCCTGCAAGGGGGGGGAGTGCGCCCTACGTCGCGTCGGCGCGGGGGCCTCGCTCTGCGACGGGTGGTGGGCCGAGGGGTGCGCCTCGCTGCGCGACGGGGCACGTCTCGCGCGGGCCGGGGCCTCGCGCGGAGAAGGAGCACCGGCGTTGTGGGAGGGGGGGGGGGGCGGTCTCGCTTCGCGACGGGCTCCAAGTAATTGGGGTGCCCGACGGGAGGGATCCAATTCGGAGGGCCATGGAAACAGAATCCCAGCTGCGGGGGGGGGGGGTCCCACGAGGAAGGCTCTCAAAGTGGTGGCCCGCACGAGGAAGTCCCAGTGGGGGACCCGTGAGGGGAAGCCCACACGAGCAGGAATCCCAATGGGGGCCCCTAGGAGAAGGAGTCGCAATCAGTAGAGACTGTCAGGCAGGTTCGCCAGGGAGGCGGCGGAGCCCTTTGCGCCGATTCCGATGATGGAACCCCGTTCAGGCCGCCACGCAGGGCCGGCCATTCGGAGGCACTACAGGAAACTGTGCACTAGTCGAGCATCTGATTGCCGATATTCTGGACCAACGTCTCTCAGCCATCTAGAAAGCTGGCCCAGTTTCTTGAACACGTTCGCCCCGCCCGCCTGAACAACAAACATGGGCCCATGTTTATTCAAAGAAATTTCCAGGTAGGTATCCCAGATGTCTTACATGATATGTTTCTTGATCAGACTCGTGGCTGTAATTCGCGATGCGCGTGAGACGAAGGAGGCGTGGCCCGCCTTCGTGCGTCGATTGGAGGCAGGCGAGCTTGATCTGGCCCGCCCCATCGTTCGTCTGGCGCTCCGCTGAGCTTTCCGACCAACGGTCGCTCGCGCCTGGCTCTACTCGGATGCGGCGTCGCGCCAGGGCAAGGAGATGAAAACGGAGGAGGGGGGCGGATGAGGGAGGAGGAGGATGAGGAGGAGAAGGATGAGGGGCAGCAAGATGAGGAGGGGTAATGAGGAGGGATGAAGGGAGAGAGGGAGGGAAGGGGGAGAAGGAGTTGGGAGGAAGGAGGAGGAGGAGGAGGAGGAGGAGGAGGAGAGGAGGAGGAGAGGAGGAAGGGAGGAGGAGGCACAGGAGGGAGGAGGAGGAGGAGGAGGAGGAGGAGGAGGAGGAGGAGGAGGGGGAGGAGGAGGAGGAGCTACAGTAGGGGATAGAGGGGCAGGAGTGGTCGGAGCAGAAGGATGAGGAGACAAAAGGACAGAGAAGGGGTGGAGGCAGAGGCGGAGGAGACGGCGGAGAGGGAGCAGCAGCAGGACGAAGTGGAAGGCGGCGCCCGAGGACGGGGCGGGGAGGGCGAGCTGCGAGTGGCGAGGGGCAGGTACCAGCCGCTCGCCGGCGGGGCCCCGGAGCTGCCGCACGCGGCGGCTGGCCCCAGCGGGCCCCCGCCGCTGGAGCCTCCGAGCGGCCGCCCGCCGGCGGACGGCGAGGTCTCGATCGGTCCAATTCCACATTCTGCTCACGTTTCATATCTGCTGTCTGGCTGGTAGTCGACTTGTACACCCATGCCCTGCACAGCGCCGAGCAGCCGACAGGCATGCTCGCGTGGTCCAATTCCACATTCTGCTCACGTGTCATACATGCTGTCTGGCTGGTAGTCGAATTGTACACCCATGCCCTGCACAGCGCCGAGCAGCCGACAGGCATGCTCGCGTGGTGCGCTCGCTCGCTCCGAGGGCACTCGGAGGAGGGAAGGGTACCCATACCTCTGCCCTTCGCCCGTGTTCCCCTGTTTGGGCCTGCTGGGAGGCCCTGGTCGCCACCGCTGGATTCGCCTCGGAATCCTCGTCAGAACGCACCCCGAGGGAGGTCCGGGGAGTAGCGGCATTGGTACCTGTAGATCTCTCCGACGATACGATGATGCCAACGGCGTTTTTTCTTCGAGTTCGGCCTCCAGGGGCCCGAGAAGCCTCCAGACTGGACCTGGGACGACAGCCTGGACCCGGGGAAGGGGGACCTCTGGGGCCGCTCCCCGACGAAATCACGGGGGGGGGGGGGTCATCCGATGCCGCGGCGCACTGTTTTTTTGTTTTCTCCTCAGCGTCCAACCGACCCCCCGTCCCCAGTGGGCCACGGTGTGGCTCCGCCAGCCCATGCCCCCGGGTCGGGACGTGCCCCGCGGGGCCCAGAGGGAACAGCGCGTGTCCCACCCAGGGGGGGGACGTCGGCCAGCCGCGCCCAGGCCATGCCAGTGGGGACTCCTCCTCCTCCCCCTCCTCCTCCTCCTCCTCCCCCTCCTCCTCCTCCTCCTCCTCCTCCTCCTCCTCCTCCTCCTCCTCCTCCTCCTCCTCCTCCTCCTCCTCCTCCTCCTCCTCCCCCCCCTTCTCCTCCTCCTCCTCCTCCCCCCCCTCCTCCTCCTCCTCCTCCTCCTCCTCCTCCTCCTCCTCCTCCTCCTCCTCCTCCTCCTCCTCCTCCTCCTCCTCCTCCTCCTCCTCCTCCTCCTCGCTCCTCGGGCGCTGGCTGTCTTCACCACTTCCGGGGCCGGTTTCCCTGGACTTGGGGAGGCCGTGAATGTGCATGCCGCTGGGCCCTAGGGGGGGCCATTGATGGTCAGGTCCTCTGCGCCCTGCTGTGTTTGGGAGATCGGCTGTCGAAGTGTTCGATGTGGATAAAGCCTGGCATCGGGTGGCAGATGATGTTCTCCCCTGGCTTTGCGTGGAGGATACTGGGGTTCCACGGATGTGTTCGGAGATATGCCTGATGCGTTTCGGAGGGGAGGGGGGTCTCCAAAGGGTCAGTGAGGTTTTCGCGTGTCTTCGGAGGTGTCCGGCTGCTTCTGCAGTGTTCTGCAGGGTGCCCAGGGTTCCCTGAAATTTCAAAAGATTTCTGGAGGGGGGCGGAGAGGACGAGGTTGAGGAACAGAGTCAAGGCAGGACGCATCAATGATGCTGCACTGTTTGGCGGCGAGCTTGGGAGGGAAGCGAGAGGGAACAAGCCATCTCAGAAGGCGGCGGGGTTTCTCAGAAGCCCTGGCGCTGATTGGGAAGTTATCTGCGTCTTCGAAGAAGACTTGGACAACTTCTCAGAATGCCCGAGACCTCCCGAGCCTTCTGAGGAGGCCCGCCCCTTCTCGCTACCCCCCTGGGCTCGCCGCCGAACGATTCCCTCCCGTCCTGGGCTCCCTCCCCGTGCAGTCGTGCTTTTTTCACAGGGGAGCTCCCGCTCGAGAGCGGCTGCTCTCCCTCTTTGCAGCTCGTGTGCAGTGGAGACCCATGCCAAGAAGCACCATGCTTGCCTCCAGGATGGCCTGGTTTTTTTTGGGTGGTGATGGTTTTGCCATGGAAGGCGCGACGACACCATACCAAAAACCGATGGACGTCCTGGGTTTCGTGTGGAAGGTTTCTTGTGGTCGGGCCCTTACTGTTACATGCAAGCCGTAGAACCGCAATGCCCAAGACAGTAGCACGCCAGCGTGAGCCCCCTCTTGACACGGTGTCCGTTCTCCAGCCGTGTAACTGTTGTACGTTAGGGTGAGTGTGCGCGACGCCAGGGCGAGAGCCCCATTGTGAGAGCCACCCGCCATCCATCCGTGTAGTTGTTGGTAACCAAATTGCGCGGGCACCCGTGCAACTGGTTCACATGTCAGGCTTCACGATAAAACACACTACAGATTCGTCGCGCCGGAACTGTGGCCAGCGCCGAACTCCGTCATAATTCATTATGCCTCGGGATCGTAACGCGGCTTTCTTTAGCAGCTTGATTGGGCAATTTTGTGCCATGGCGGTCGTAATTGTCCGACGTTGGCAGTGCTCCTGGCAGGCATGCTTCACGGTGGGACGTTGGCACGGCGGGGTCCGCTCCGTCTCCTCCCTGTCCACGCCGCTGCGGCCTGTGTCCATTCGAGACAGGAGGCCGCCTGCCCAACAGCGGCCGCTGTTGGTTTGGGACAACATTTGCTGTTGGGCATTGTACCCATTCTTTCGGTACCCATTTCGGGCGTCCAAAAACTGGTTCACATTTCAGGCTTCACGATCATACAGTTTCAGGAAGTGTCAGGCGAAACGTGCGCTCCGCACTCCCAGTACGTCTGGCGGTGCGACGAAGATGGTTTTTTGGTTTGAGAGAGGAGGGATCGGACGGAGGGGAGGCGGAGCATGAATGGGGCAGGGGAAGGGATTAGAGGAGGAGGATGTACGAGAGGAGGATGGGCAGAATGGGGAGAACGAGGAGGAGGAAACCGATCTGGAGCAGGTGAGGGATGTGCGGAGGGTGTGGTGGAGGGGGAGGGTTCGCTGGGGGAGGAGAAGTCGGGCATGGAGGAGGGAAGGAGAAGGAGGTTTCTCAGAGCGAGAAGGATGATGGTGGTGGTGATGATGGCGACACGGGAGCATCGGCCGAGAACGGCTGGCAGGGCAAGAAGCGCCTCCCCGAGCCTGCCAAAGGCCCTGGAGGGGGGGGGGGGGGGGGGGGCTATCGCGTCCTACGGGGCCCTCTCTCGAGCCCTCCTCTCGGAGGGAGCCTAAACCTCCGAGGCCACCCCCGACGCCCTCCCGATGCCCCCCCGCAGAGAGCCCCCGCAGCTCTCCGACCCCCCCCCCCCCCCCCGAGGCTCCCCGAAGCGCTCCCCTGAAAAGGCCCCTGCCCGAGGTCGCGCGGAACGGCGCGGAGCCACCGCCGCAGCCGACCGTTGTGGGCAGGGGCTGCGCCGCGGCGGCGGTGCGGCTAGAGCTGGAGGCGCCGCGGGGCCTTGTGGCGGAATGCAGCAGGGCCCGTCGAATGGCGGAACACGAAAGGATTCCGATTGTGGCGGAATGCAGAAGGGTTCAGCAAGGCCCGCGTTTTGAAAAGCCAGCGCCCTGCGTCACGTCCTCCTCGTCCTCCCTCCTCCTTTTTCCTCCCACTCACTCCCATCTTTCACCCTGTCCCCCGCACGCCTCTGCATCGGTACACCCCTCACGATTCGTGGCGCGACCTGGAGCTCCAGCGCAGGCCGAAGGCCCCAGCGGCAGCGCCCGCACGGCGCACCCGCACCCATGCCGGTTGACCCCTCACACGTGCCGTGGCCCCACAGGGAAGAGCTCCACCGAAAGCATGCCTCGTGGCCGCATAGGGTGCTCCACCGAAGGCCACAGCGGCAGCGCCCGCACGTTCTACCCACAGCCATGTCGGTGCATCCTACACATGCTGCGTGGCCTTACAGTGAGCTCCACAGGAGGCCCCGGCGACAGAGTACTGATGGCGCTTCCGCACCCGCCTCGGCAGACCTCTCACGCTTCGTGGCCCCGCATGGAGCTCCACCGAAGGCCCCAGCGGCAGCGCCCGCATGGCGCACCGGCACCAAGTCCGGCACATCCCTCACACGCTTCGTGGTGCGATCCGCAGCCCCACCGAAGGTCTTAGCGGCAGCGTCCGCATGGCGCACTCGCACCGAAGTCGGCACACCACTCACACGCTTCGTGGCCCCATGGGGAGCTCCACGAAAGCCGCACCCGCCTCGGCACACGCCTCACACGTTTCGTGGCCCCACAGGGAGCTCCACTGAAGGCCCTTGCGGCAGCGTCCGCATAGAGTATGCGGCATGCGCATCCCTCACACGAATCGTGGCCATAGGAAGCCCAATCGAAGGCCCCAGCGGCAGCGTCCGCGTGACGCACCCGCACCCAATTCGGCACACCCCTCACACGCTTCGTGGCCCCAGAGGGAGCTCCACCGAAGGCCCCTGCGGCCGAAGGCCTCCGCCTGCACGCGATATTCGCAGTTGCATGTGGTAAGGTCTGTCGCGCGGATACTTTCACACGTCCCCTGGCCCCCCCTGGGCGACGCTCATGCCTCAGGTCATGACTTGCGACCCCGCCTCTTGGACGCCCCCTTTTGGAAGCCCACGACTGACGTGATCCGTGTCCGGCAACCTCCAGAGTGACACGCTGTCCGTTTCCAGCCGTGCGCGATCCATGATCCGCAATGTTCCATGGCCGTTGGCGCCACTGGAGATGATGGCGGTGCTGAGGAGGAAGGTGCTCACTACAAAAACGCGAGGTGCGCCAGGTGCGTCGAGGGCGCCATGCGCGTCCAGTGCACCGCGTGCCGTCAGGTGCGCTGAGTGCGTTAGCGTCTTCGCCAGATGCGCGCCTTGCGCCAGGCGCGCCAGGTGCGGGCGGGGGCGCACGGCGCGCTGGCGTCTGCATTCGATGGGGCAGGTGCGCTGGGCAGATGCGCCGGGTGCGTCAGCCCCGGCATGCACGCCAGTGGCTCGGAGGCATGGGCTAGCAATTCCAGGGCCAGTGCGGCGCGGAGCTATCCGTCTGGATGCGCAACCTTGGGTGCGACACGTTATCATGGTTTGCGACCCTGGATATGGAGCGGCATGCTATCACCTCGCACTGCATATAGCGAGGCATAGAGGCCACCGCAGCGAGACGTTCTGCATGTAGAAACTCGCAACCGTCGTAGCAGCATGAGTTATAGTGCGTTAGCAGTAGAGAGAGAAGGCGAGGAGGAGGAGGAGGAGGAGAAGGAGGAGGAGGAGGAGGAGGAGGAGGAGGAGCATGGGTGACTGAATGGGGGAGGAGTGATGCGGAGGAGGTAGAAGGGGGAGGGGGAGTGGGGATGTGGGCGTTTCCTCCTCTTGCGAGCTGCGCCAGCACGAGGAGGAGGAGGAGGAAGGGAGGATGGCGGATGGAGGGGGTCCTGGGAATGAGGATGGATGGGAGGAGGGAGGTTTCAATTGGAGGATGTAGGCGAGGAGGGATGACAGGGGGCGACCCCAGGCGATGCGGCCGCCCTCGAAGGAGGCGGTGCCAGAGCGGCCGCAGAAGAGCCTCGCCACGCGCGCCCACGAGTACGTTGCATTCCTGGTGTTCGGGATGGGCTGCGGCTGGGTCGTGGTGGCCGGCTCCTACATGGAGCTGCCCGTCTACCAGGAGCGGTTCGGACTGAAGGCCAGCAACCGGATGACGATCGGCTACAACATCGGCGCCGCCTCCTTCCCCATATTCGTTTGCCTGCAGTATGTGATGCAGCGCCGCGGGCTGAGCTTCGACTACAGGGCCCTGATCGTGGCGCTGGCGGCGGTCAACGCGCTGGCCCTCCTGGGCGCGGCGTTCCTGGTGGACAGCCTGGAGGCGCTGGTCCTCCTGCAGGTTGTGGGCGGCGGCTACGGCTGGCTGACCGGCCTGGTGCACCAGCGGAGGAGTGAGGAGGGGGGAGGGGACGGGAGTGAGGAGGGATGAGGGAGTGAGGGAATGAAGATGAGGGAGAGGGAGGAATGGGGAGAAATGTGGAGGAAGAGAGAGAGGAGGAAGGGGAAGGGGAGCAAGAGGAGAGAGGGAGGAGGATGGAGGGGGGACATGGGGAGGAGGGGAGGAGGGAGGCAGGCGTGGTGGTGAAGTCGGAGAGGAGGAGGGAACGATTTGTGTTGGGCAGAGGTATGGCGGCGCACCGCTTGCCTAAACGGTGATGCGGGTTTCTCATTCCCAGGAGGGGGAATGAGGAGGGAAGAGGGAGGAGGAGACAGGAGGGGGACGATTTGGAGAAATGAAAGAGGAGAGAATCATGGAGGACGGGCAGGAAGATGCTTGCTTTTCCAGCAGCCGTCCGTGACCAAGGAAGGGGGAGGAGGAGGAGGAGGAGGAGGAGAAGGAGGAGGAGGAGGAGGAGGAGGAGGAGGAGGAGGAGGACAAGAGGGAGGAGGAAGATGAGGAGGAAGAGCAGAGTGGAGGGGACGGATGAGGGAGAGTGACAGGAGGAGGAAGAGAGAGAAGTTGTTTGATGCAGCTCTCTTTCCCTCAGCCGTGCGTGGGTGATCAGACCTCATCTCTCAGTGACCAGCCGAGGGATGGCTGGAGGAAGGAGGAGGAGGGATGAGGAGTTGCAGCCGCGCTCCATCGCCAGCGGTCGTTTCTTCCATGGAAGGAGGGCGGCTATGGCCTGGCCAGCGCGTGCGCCAGTTCTCGGTCCAACTTCGTCGCCTCCTGGCTCAGGGACCTGCCGGAGAACGCGGCCACCATGGGGCTCCCCAGCGCGGCGGTGCTCTTGACCAAGGCGCTTGCTTTGCGAGCGTGCCTCGAGACGGTCGTCGGGGAGATGTGCTCGCAGGGCGTCAACCTCCCGGCCGCGCTCGACGACGTCCTGCACTCTGCCTCTCCAAGTTCCGCGTCCATCTGGCGTTCCGAAGTGGTTTCTCGCATCAGCTTGAACATTAGCAGCGGTGCCACGGAAAATTACGTCACTTTGATGCGGGAGTCTGGCGGCAGCGGCGGAAGCTCGTGAATGGCCGTCCCCACGAGGCCGGAGCATTGCCTCACGGATCAGGAATTCGTCACCAGCATCCGTCTGCGGATGCATGTGGACCTGCACCTGCGACAGCATGGTCACGAGCTGCATTGCGCGCACAGGGGGGAGGAACGCGGGCTACCAGGTTTGCAACCAAGTGGTGGACACCAAAGGGTTGCACAGCCTACTGTGCAAGAGGGGTGGTTTCGTTGTCCGCAGACACGACGCCGTCTGGGACCTGCTTGCAAACATGCTGGCCGAAATGTTGAGCATACCCGCACGCACCGAGCAGCATCCGCCTGGATGGTTTCCAGACAATCGGCCCCCCAACGTCGACTACTACGACAAAAACCTCGTCCGCCAGTACTTGGACATCGCTGTCGTCACCCCGCACACGCGGGCCCTCCCGGGCAGCGCAGCCTAGCACCGTCAGGGCGCTCTGATTGAGCGAGAGGAAAGCTCCAAGAGATGGAAATACCACACATTGAGCCTCACGCCTGTGGTCATGTCACACTTAGACCAGCTCGGCGGTGGCTGTCAGAGCGTCGTCAAGGGCCTCGCCTATGGTTTCAATGAGCGCCACAGGTCGATTGCCATCGACGCCTGCTGCCAGCGCTTGGCGGCAACGCTGCGGCGCGCCAGCGTGGAACTGTTGGCGTCTGCGGCGCCCCTGATCCCCTAGCTCTTGGGCCCGCTCGTCTTCCTCCCTCCTTTCCGCTCTCCCTTCGCCGGGGCCCCGCCTGACTGCAGTGCCACCGCGTCTTTTTTGTCCCCCCGCCCCCTCCCTTCCCCTCTTCTCCCCGCTCCTTGCCTCCGGCGGGCGCGCGAGCGCCTAAGGGGGGTGTCCGGCGGTTCACACTTCCCCGCCACGCGTCCGTCTCCTCCGCCTCCCGGTTCCCTCCTGCCCCCTCCTCCCTCTTCCCTCCCCCGGCCTGATTTTTTCGGGGCGTGTCCTGTCGCCGGCGTCCAGGCGGGCTGTCGCCCCCCGCCCGAACGCCGAAAAAAAACTTGATGGGCGCACACCCGTGCAGAGACGGTTTTCGCATTGTGGTTGATTTGCTCGGCTTGGCGCGCATGGGCTATCCTCGCACGCCTGACGCCGACACTCGCCCTAAAGATGGCCGGGTGCTGGGGTCGCGGCAGTAGGAGAAGAAGAGGGGATCATGAGGGGAGGAAGTGGTAGGAGGAGGAAGGGCAGGAGGAGGAGGAGGAGGAGGAGGAGGAGGGCTCCGACGCAGTCTTATGGAGTCGCATATCTACCAGTGATACACGAAGGCGAACAATTCTGCAATCGGAGAGGAGGAGGAGGAGGAGGAGGAGGAGGAGGAGGAGGAGGAGGAGGAGGAGGAGGAGGAGGTGGGATGCGGAGGACGAGGACGAGGAGGAGGACCAGGGGATGAGGACGAGGAGGAGAAAAACGAGGAGGCGGAAAAGGAGGAGGAGGAGGTCGGAGGGGGGTGAAGGAGGAGGGAAGGTGGTAGGGCGGTCGGGAGGGCGGGGGGGGGCGTAGGGAGGAGGGGGGGCCCAACGTAGTCGCAGGGAGTCACAGGTGCACCAGCGCTACATCCTGCTCTCCCGCGATAGCGCCTACGTCGCCGTCTTCTGGGCGGGCGACGCGGCCTCGGCTGTCTTGGCCGCGGCGCTGGCGCTGGCCCAGAGGCCTTGAGGGCCAAAACTATTTAACACACACCTCCTCCCTGTCCTGTTGCCAGGCACGCTCGCATGGTGAACAAAAACTCGACGGGAGGTTTTCGGCAGTTTTCGGCCTTCGCAAGGCGCCTTCAGGCGCCTTTCAACAACACCCCGCGATGAACAGCCAACCCATGGGGGACCCGGGGGACCCCCGCTTGAAAACAGATCCAGACATCCCACGTACGGGTTATCGCTGCGGTCGGGAATTGTGGCACAGCGTGTCGCGCCATCAGTCCTGGTCCATTTCGCTCCGGCGCGACATGTTGTGCGCGTCCCCATGTCAGGCGTCAGCGCCCCGAGCCTCGCCAGGCCTCCCGGCCCGCGGAGCGGAGCGACACGCTGTCAGCCTGCAGGGCATGGCGTGTCCCTTAGCAGAAGTCCATCACTTGTACCACTATTAATCTTCTTTGGGATGGGCAGGCGCCCACTAATCGCCCCCCTTCTTTAGAACGCGTTTTGGGTAGGTTCCGTTGCCCGTTGAAGGCCAACGCCAGCATTCCCGCCGGCCTTGAAAAGGGTTATACATGTTTGATGGGTTTGGGAAATCGTGCCTCGCATGTTTGGTGATTTTTGCAAGTTCACGTGAATTGGTTCTGGGTGTGTTTGATGCCTGGAAAGAGTAGCGGTCGAGCGCCAATTCCAGCATCTCCTCCTGACTATTCCTACCCCTCCCCTCTCCCCAGAGCTCGTGCTGGCACCCGACTAACTTCAGGCGAGGGCGGAGCGTTCGGCGCAGCGGCGGACGGACGACGGAGCGGGCGAGCTTAGGCTCGCCCCCTCCTGGCGCTGCAGACAGGCGGGCTGCGCTTCCTTCACAGCGTGAGAAGCACAGGCCATCCAGAACCGATCTAACAGCTGACGGGGGAAGAAAGGAACAGTCACGCATAGTCAAACAGCGAGGGGAGGCTCTGTGGCCATATCGAGCCGTCTTGCAACGGTCTTGGGGCCTTTTGGAGCATCTTTGGAGCCATCTTGAGCCAGTTTGGAGGTCATCCTGGGCTCTCTGAGGCCTTTCGGGGGCCTCCTGGGTGTCTCTCGGGTGCCTCTTGGAGGCCTCTTGGGGCCTCTTGGGGCGCTCTTGGAGCCCTCTTGGGGGCCTCTTGGGAGCCCTGGGGTGGGGGGGGGGCCATCTTGTAGACGGTCGGTCAAAAGAGGGTGGCCCTAAATGTAGTTCCCCTTTTTCGGGGGCCACGATCCTCGTGAGGGGTGCCAAAAAGTGACCCTCCCAGGGGCCGAAAAAGGACCCTCTGACACATCGGGCCCCCTGTCCCCCCAAAAAATATCTTGGCGATGGACCCAACCATATGCAGTTACGAGTACCGCAAAGCAGGTTGAACGAATGAGAGGGAACTCCCTAAGGGGCCACGAGACGTGTGAGGGGTGTGCCGAAATGGGTGCGGTGCCGCCATGCGAACGCAGCCACTGGGGCCCTCGGTGGAGCTCCCTATGGGGCCACGAAGCGTGTGAGGGGTGTGCCGAAATGGGTACGGTGCCGCCATGCGAACGCAGCCACTGGGGCCTTCGGTGGAGCTCCCTATGGGGCCACGAAGCGTGTGAAGGGGTGTGCCGGAATGGGTGCGGTGCCGCCATGCGGACGCAGCCACTGGTGCCCTCGGTGGAGCTCCCTATGGGGCCAAGAAACGTGTGAGGGGTGTGCCGACATGGGCGCGGTGCCGCCATGCGACCGCAGCCACTGGAGCCCTCGGTGGAGCTCCTGATGGGGCCACGAAACGTGTGAGGGGTGTGCCAAAATGGGCGCGGTGCCGCCATGCGAACGAACGCAGCCATTGGAGCCCTCGGTGGAGCTCCCTATGAGGCCACGAAACGTGTGAGGGGTGTGCCGAAATAGGTGCGGTGCCGCAATGCGAACGCAGCCAGTGGGGCCCTCGGTGGAACTCCCTATGGGGCCACGCACCGGCTGAGGGGTGTGCCGAAATGGGCGCGGTGCCGCCATGCGAACGCAGCCACTGGAGCCCTCGGTGGGGCTCTCTATGGGGCCACGAAACGTGTGAGGGGTGTGCCGAAATGGGCGCGGTGCCGCCATGCGAACGCAGCCACGCAGCCACGAACGTGTGAGGGGTGTGCCCCTCGGTGGAGCTCCTTCAGGGGCCACGAACGTGTGATGGGTGTGCCGCAATGACTGCGGTGCCGCCATGCGAACGCAGCCTGGGGCCTCGGTAGAGCTCCTATGGGGCCACGAAACGTGTGATGGGTGTGCCGAAATGAGTGCGGTGCCGCCATGCGAACGCAGCCACTGGGGCCCTCGGTGGAGCTCCCTATGGGGCCACGAAACGTGTGAGGGGTGTGCCGGTGCGGTGCCGCCATGCGAACGCAGAATGGGGCCTTCGGTGGAGCTCCCTATGCGGCCACGAACCGTGTGAGGGGTGTGCCGAAATGAGTGCGGTGCCGCCATGCGAACGCAGCCATTGGGGCCTTCGGTGGAGCTCCCTCAGGGGCCACGAGACAGGGGTGTGCCGAAATAGGTGCGGTGCCGCCATGCGAACGCAGCCACTGGGGCCTTCGGTGGAGCTCCCTATGGGGCCACGAAGCGTGTGAGGGGTGTTCCGAAATGGGTGCGGTGCCGCCATGCGACCGCAACCATTGGGGCCCTCGGTGGAGCTCCTTATGGGGCCACGAAACATGTGAGGGCTGTGCCGAAATGGGCGCGGTGCCGCCATGCGAACGCAGCCACTGGGGCCCTCGGTGGAGCTCCTTATGGGGCCACGAAACGTGTGAGGGGTGTGCCGAAGTGGGTGTGGCTGACGCGGAGGGGGAGGAGGGAGGAGGGGGAGGAGGGGGAGGAGGAGTGAGTGAGGGACGCGGGGCGCTGTCTTTTCAAAACGAGGACCCAACACCACAGAATGGTTGGGAACAAAAGAAAATCGAGGGAGGGGAGGGGGAGGGCTCCCCTCCCCGAAGGTAAGAGGGGTCGTGGAAGAGAACAGATACCGACTTTCACCTGTCGCCCAGGGGGTTGGTGGGATTATACGGCGTCCGTGTGTTGCGCATTGAACTGCGTTGCGGTGGCTTGGGCCGCTGATCTCTATTGCGTTGCGTTGAGCCGGTCTATCCTCCCTTATCCTCATCAGCCCTCCTCCGCCTACCCCCGCCCCGCTTTTTCTTACGCTTGAATGCGCGCATCAAGGCGGTGGTACAAACAAAGAGCGAACGACGGCAGCAAACGTAATCAAAAACACCAACACAACAACGCGAAATCAACGCAACGCAGCTGAAGCCTCGTAGATCGTGCGCGAACGTAAGACACGTTGCACCGCGCTGCTTGTACTGCGCCAGGCGGGCGCGGTATGCTGATGATTTCAACAACTGAAGATAACTTCATAATCTGAAGATGCCACATCGATGGCAAAAATATGAAGACAACAACCCTCAGGGAGGTACTGGCATGTGAGGGGGCATGGAAACGCACATTCATCTACGCGCACCAACTCTGGAGTCAGAAGAGAAGGCACAACGAGGGGACATCCAGGTGGCTGGAGTGAGATGCCACAAAGATCTTGCAGACGCTTTGACCAAGTACTTGAGCAGAAACAACATGATGATGCACGCGCGAGGCACTAAATAACTCGTTGACGGGAGACACGATCTGGCGCCGCCGCGGAGTGCTAGCTCAATCTATCACAGACTCAGGTTATCGTCGCAAGCCGCGTTGCCAGGGGCTTGAGCTCAGGATCGATTTAGATCCATGTGCGCGCTCATGCGATGTCTTACCTCTACATACAATGTTGAAAGCATTGCATTCTTCGGTGCCATGCCACATTTAGAAATGGTGCCCCAACACGTTCAAGAGGCCCAACACGTTAATGCCGAATGCACCGTCGCCTTGTGATTGCATCAGATATGTTTCACATTGTTTCACTATAGAATTTTATTTGCTGTGATGGGGTCCCGGCTTGACTGCGCTGCCACCCCGCGCATCTCTAATTCTGGCTTCAGCCCAACGGGAAGTTAGTATGTAGCGGTCCGAGTGGGTGAGCAAGATCAGTTTGACGAGCAATCGTACGCGGCTGTTGCACATCAAGCCGCAGTGTGTTAGATTGAATTGTTTGGAATTGTTGTTTGGCTTCAGTTCCATTCGACTTCTGGACAGAGAAACAGGCTCATTCCATATTTTCATGGGGAGGCCTCTCGACGGCTTCTTGGGGCATTGTGTGAACCAAACTGGGTCGTGGTCACTGGCTTCGCTCGGCCGGGGTGCTTCTTATGAGTATGGTTTCGCTGTTCCCCTCAGGAGCGAAAGAAGGACGTACATGTACATGAATCCACGCTGGTTTCGAGAGCACGCACTGCACAAATGTTCGTATAACGCGGCCGGTCTCGCGAATCGAGGGGCCGTGTTCATGTACATAGCTGGGCGCGTACGTCCTTTGTGGGCTCCCTATCTCCAGGCTCGGGGGTGGGGGCGGGGGCTCGCCGCGGAAAGGGCTGGCGTGGCAGCGCCCGAACCCCAGACGCCCGGGCGTTGCAATTTCGCCCCTCCGGGTTCGGGCGTTGCCAGAAGCGCCCCTGGCCCTCGCGCTACCAACGCAGCTGTTTTACAGACAATCCGCGCGCAAAGAAAGAATCGCGGAGACGATGTGTGCTTCGGAGATCATTCACAAAACACCTCTACGCCGCAGTGGAAGGGTTCTCAATGGGTCCGCGGGGCCTGCAGGAAGACCAGCCCAAAATCTGTCCCAAGGTGCCCCGAGGGTTTCCAGGGAAACCACCGCGCGTTCCAGAGCACTCCTCACGAGGCCAAGGATGCCCCAGGGGAGTCAAAATTACGCGAAGAGCTTGGGACACCTTGGGCCAGGGGCCCCTCGAGCAACCACCGACGGACATTTTCGCCCGTCTTCAGGTCTCGGGACCGTCGCATCTCGGCCTGGCTCGAACAAAACGCCGCCATCAGGTGGGGCCTTTAGGGCACTGGTCGTGTTTTTGTTCCCGATGTGCCCGCAAGTTCCGCGGGGTCGGATTTCGCGCACGGGTTCAAGCCACGGTGGGAGGCGGGGGGGGGGGGCACGAGGCAGAAGCGGACGAGAAGGAGAAGACGGTGGAGTAAGCGGAGGAGGAGTAGCATCAACAGCACGAATGGAATGGGGATGGGAAAGAGGGGAAACCCACCACTCACCAAACCATCCCAACCCAACCCGAAGGCCCCAGTCTGCCCTCCATTCCCACTGGGGGGGTGTCGGGGAACATTGAAAAGAACACGTGTGGAACGCGTCCCCCCCAAAAACTCAATCGAATGTGGGTCTTCGGGTTGGGTTGGGGTGGTCTGATAAGAATGCAGAAGCGGATGGAATTTGATTCCACCGACCCGTCACTAGCCTTGGCCAGCGCGCGTGCACGAGAGTGCCCGCTGCCCCCCCCCCCCCCGCGCGAGGCCGGAACGCGGCCAGGCGGAGCGGAGCTTCGGGCCGGAGGCGTTCTACCTCGGCCCGGGAGGTCCCCATGCTGCGCCCCGGGGAGTCGCTCACAACTACTACTCTACTACTCACCATTCATTATCATCATCATCATCATCATCATCAGCAGCAGCAGCAGCAGCAGCAGCATCATCGCAACACCATTGTCAACATCGTCCTTATCACACAGATTTACTCACACACTCACGTTTTCATCTTGACGAGGTCTCAGGTGGGAGCCTCGGCTGCGAGACACCATCGTCAACATCGTAATTATCACACACGCACACACTTACTCAAACACTCAGACACTCATCTTGACGAGTTCTCATGCGGGAGCCTCGGCTGTGAGTGAACACCATCACCATCACCAGTGTCATCATCGTCCACACCCACACTTGAGGAAATATCAGGCGGGGGCCTCGTCTGTGAGTGAAGTGCGAGGAAATCTTAGGCGGGCGACCCCCTCCCTATATGGGCCCGCTGCTCATGTTTTTTATCCGAGCGGGACATCGGGATCTTGGAATTGTCGTCACTGTTGGGCCCCTGAGACCTGAATATGGAGGAAGCATCAGGCGGGAACCTTGTCTGTGAGTGAAGTGCGAGGAACAGGCGGGAGCCCCCTCCCTATGAGGCCCGCAGCTCTTTTTGTAACCCGAGCGGGCCATTCGGATCTTATAGTTGTCGTCACTTTTGGGCCCCTGAGGCATATGGAAGAGGTATCAGGCGGGAGCCTCGTCTGTGAGTGAATTGCGAGGAAGTCTCAGGCGGGAGCCCTCGCCTTATGGGGCCTGCCGCTCATGTTTTTAATTCCAGCGGGCCACCACGATCTTGCAATTGTCATCACATTCGGGTCCTTGAGGCCTGAAAATTGAGGAAGTATCAGGCGGGAGCCTCGTCTGTGAGTGAATTACAAGGAAATCTCAGGCGAGTGCCCTCTCCCTATGGGGTCCGCCGCTCATGGTTTCCCCACATCCAAAGTGGGGCTCTTGTTTTCTCTGGACAACCCGCGCAGGAGCAGGATGGAAGGAGCACCCCCTCTCTCCCCACTTACACATTCAAGCACTCACATCATTCTCACAGCCTCAACATCACTTGCACATTCACTCATACTCACGCGACCACTTTCATTCATCCACTCACACTCACTCACTTATCCTGAGTGGATCTCTCCTTCACCCACAACTACTACTCATCACGCATCATCATCAGGATCACAAGACCACCGTCCAATCGCACGCTCAGATTGATAATGTCTCAGGCGGGAGCCTCGCCTGTGAGTGAACACCATCAATACCACCCATCACCATCGTCACCATAATCACCCAACACCCGCCGCCATCGTCACCATCACCATCGTAACGATCACCCATCACCATCGTCCTCATCATCGGGCGAAGTCTCAGGCGGGAGCCTCGTTCGTGAGCGAATTGCAGGAATGTCTCAGGCGGGAGCCCCCTCCCTATGTGGCCCGCAAGTTCTTTCAATCCGAGCGGGTCATCGGGATCATGTAACTGTCGTCGCGTCGGGATCCCTGAGGTTTGAAAATGGAGGAAGTATCCGGCGGGAGCCTCGTCCGTGAGTAAAGTACGAGGAAGTCTCAGGCGGGAGCCCCCTCTCCATGGGGCCCGCAGCTCATGTTTTTAATCTGAGCGGGCCATCGGAACTCTTGTAGCTGTCGTCACTTCTGGCCCCCCGAGGCCTGACTATGGAGGACGCATCTGGCGGGGAGCCTCGTGCGTGAGTGAATTACAAGAAATCTCAGGCGGGAGCCCCCTCTATGGGCCCGCCGCTAATATTTTTAATCCGAGCGGGCCATCGAAAAACGTACAATTGTCGTCATGTTTCGGTCCCTGAGTCTTGAAAATGGAGGAGGTATCAGGCGGGAGCTTCGTCTGTGAGTGGATTGCGAGGAAGTCTCAGGCTTGAGCCCCCTCCCTATGGGGCCCGCCGCCGTTCATTTCTTCAACCCGAGCGGTTCATCGGAATCTTATAACAGCTGTCAATTTTCGGCCACTGAGGCCTGAAGATGGAGGGGGTATCAGGCGGGAGCCGCCTTTGTGATTGAATGATGGGGAAGTCTCAAGCGGGAGCCCCTTCTCTATGGGGGCACAATTCATGTGAGTAATCCGAGCGGGCCGCCCTCAACATTAAAATTGATTTCACGTTTAGCATCCTCTGGCGTAAATTTGGTGGAAGTATCAGGCGGGAGTTTCGTTTGGACTGAGTAGCGAGGAAGTCCCAAGCGGGAGCCAGATCCCTACGGGGCCAGCATTTCATTTTGGTAATCCGAGCGGGTCATCGTACACCTTGCAACTGTCGGCATTTTCGGGCTTTTGACGTCTGAGTAGTGGGGAAGTTTGAGACTGGAGATTCTTCTGTGAGTGATTCGCGCCAGCGGCTCGCGGGGTTGTCTGGGCGGCCTGGCCCGCGGGGCTGTCTTCGACGGCTGCGCGATTTCGCTGTCGGAGAGCGCGCCCCTGCAAGGCGTGGTGGCGAGGGCGCCGAAGAAAATTTACGCGCGCGCCCCTGCAAGGAGGACCGAGAGGTGCA